GGGTTTAGGTGGGAGCTAGGATTAGGGGGACCCTTGGGGATATAGGCCCTCTCAATAAGGTCCCTTTTAAGAGGGCCAAAAGCAGGGTTCAGAAGGGGTACCCTTTAAGGGGTACCCCTAATAATACTACCTATCCCTAAACCCTTAAACCCTTAAACCCTAAACCCTGAACTTTAAACCCTAAACCCCAAAACCCCAAAACCCTAAACCCTATTAGGGGTTTATGGTTTAAGGCTTGTAGTATACTATAATAGGTATGATACTAATAATATGGAGCCCCAAAAACCATCCAACACCCTATTCTTCATTATGGGTTTAGGGTTTAGGGGTCTTGGGTTTAGGAGCTTGGGGTTTAAGGCTTGGGGTAACCTGAAAACACTGGAGCCTCAACGACTTGTGGCTGACTTCGACTGTCTCACTTAACGGGCGCGAAGGGCCATGTCAATACCCATGAGTTGGGTTTAGGGTTTAGGGTTTAGGGTTTAGGGTTTAGGGTTTAGGGTTTAGGGTTTAGGGTTTCCGAAAATAGCGGACCCTGATATAGCACCCCAAATAGTAGGATCCCTATTATAAGGACCCTAAAATAAGGTACCCCTTGTTTTCGGAAACCCCCCATTTCTGCATGTTTTCTACTAAATACATGCATAGATGCATAGGGCATGCATAAATGCATAGGGCATCTCATAGGGACTAGAATCACGAGATCGCATTGCTCAAAACTTGGACCCCTACAATCGAGTTTCGTGGCTCAGACCCGTCAGCACGGAGGCACACTCCATGCGGTCTAGTTTTCAGGTCTCTGGCCCCCCCCAAGGCCATGGTGCGAACACGCCCTCAAACCATAAGCTTTCCCCAAACCGTCGATGAAGGTAGTCAACCTCATCTTGGCCGATGATAGCGGTGATGGTGATGTGGATGATGCAGATGGTGAGGTTTAGGATTTAGGGTTTAGGTGGTGATGGTGATGACGATGATGAACGTCGGAAGTTCCAACAGTCCCGGCAGTTGCTGGGTGAGTCATCTTGGGATGTTGGGCCTCGCGGACTTTCTGGCGGGTCAGAGTTTTGGAGAACGTCGCGCCGTCGTGGACGGCTGCACCCCCTAAACCCTTAAACCCCAAACCCCTAAACCCTAAACCCCTAAACCCTAAACCCCTAAACCCTGAACCCTAAACCCCTAAACCCTGAACCCGGAACCCTCAACCCCTAAACCCCAGACCCCTAAACCCTAAAGTGTCTTACGGCGTGCATTCAGAGAGAAGACATTAGGGTTTAGGGTTTAGGGTTTAATTACCCTTAATCTCAAAGGACTCATATCTTAAGGCTTTCGGGCCCAAAGACCCTATTATTTAAGGCTCCTGGGCTATTTTGATGCTAAGGAGAGGGCTTGGGGCTACTCTAATGTATTATAGCACATTACAAGCCCTCTATTTCGGTTTCGGCTGGGCGCCACTTTGCTTAACTCTCCTCCTCTAGATCCCCTGCTTCCCCCCACCCTGGAACACCGGTTCAGGGTCTGGGGTTTACCAAAGCCCCCTGCAAAGCATTACCAGAATCTCTTTTACACCTTCTCCAAACCCGCACAGGAACGCCTGGTTACACGGTGTGATGACAATAAACATTCGAAAACGCACACAAAACCTCAACTCGAAATGCCTGACCCTAAACTCCTAAACCCTAAACCCTAAACCCCTAAACCCTAATTAAACCCTGAACCCCTATATAAACCCTAAACCCCCTAGGCCCTGAACCCTAGATTCTCAACCCCTAAACCCCCTAGACCCTAAACCCTGAACCCCCAACCCCTAAAGTCTAGACTCCCAAACCCTAAACCCCCTAGACCCTGAACCCTAAACCCTAATGAAACCCTAATTAAACCCTAGACCCTAAACCCCTAATTAAACCAGACCCCCAACCCCTAAACCCCCTAGACCCTGAGCTAGACCCCAAACCCTAAACCCCCTAGACCCTGAACTCCTCATCCCCCGAGCTTCCGGCAGCTCCGTTGGCTGCAGGCCGGCAGACAAGTGCCCGAGGAGACGTGGGGCCCAGGAAACGGGCACCTCGTTCTTGTTCGGAGTTTAGGGTTTAGGGTTTAGGGTTTAGGGTTTAGGGTTCAGAGTTTAGGGTTTAGGGTTTAGGGTTTAGGGTTTAGGGGGTTGAATGTAGGGGCCGCAATAAGTAGAATGGGTTTTGGGGGTTCCTTTAAGGGTTCTTTAAAAGGTTCTATAAGGGATTTAAGTTTTATAAGGTAGGGGCCTTAATAATTAGAATGGGGTTTTGGGGCCTATTATGCTATAGTTACAATAAGGAACCCCCAAAATAATGTAGGTAATTGTTTAGGCCCCTATATTAGGGTTTAGGGATTAGTTTTTTTGGGTGCTGTTCGGACCAGTCGCTGCACTCCTCAAATGCATGCAAACTCACGAAAAAGGGCGTTCTTGGGTTCATTGTTTAGGGTTTGAGGGCTCAGGGTTTAGGGGTTTAGGGTTGAATTTGACTTGCAACCCCAATACACATGAGTCAGGTTAAAAGCCTAAGCATACGGAGTAAGACTAACTTACAACAGCCTGAAAGGTTACAAGCTGGGTGGTGGACCACTCAAATAGTTAAACTTGGGGTTGGGGGCTATAGTACACTCGTACCATACAACTATATCGGGCGCTCAAGGGCTCTTCCGAGCAGGGCGGTCCGAACGGTGTAGAGCCTCTTTTGTTACAGGGCAGCCTGTCATGGCGCGTTGGAGGCTTTTTGGGGTTTAGTGTCGATTCTCCACTTAAAGGATCATGGGACTTAGTAAGTAGGGTTATAATTAGGGTAACTATACTTATAACCCTAATTAATTAGGGACTTATAACCTTATTTACTAAGTCCCATGACCCTCCAAGCACAGAGGAAACCCTAAACCCCAAACCCTAGACCCTAAACCCTAAACCCTAAATCCCTAAACCCTAAACCCTAATCCCTAAACCCTACTTACTAAGTCCCATGATCCTCCAAGCACAGATGGCCAATGCAGCAGGCAGACCTGGTCTTTCGGCAAGTGCTTGAGGAACAGCTCCCATCCACCTGCGAGACATCTAAGGTTTCGGGCAATGCAGAGCTTAGGGTCTAAGGTTTAGGGTTTAAGGTTTAGGGTTTAAGGTTTAGGGTTTAAGGTTTAGGGTTTAAGGTTTAGGATCAGGGGTTTAGGATCAGGGGTTTAGGGGATTACTGCTTCGCTCTTACTTGAGCAACTGTCCAGCCTGTGCTTCCTGAAGCCCTAGGCCCTAAAATAGGGGCCTGAATCATTAGAAAAGGGCTTTTGGGGCCCACCATACTAGAATTATAATAAGGAGCCCCTTACTGTTTAGACCCCAACACCAAACCCTGCATCCTCGACCCCACCTCCTCCTCGTACCAAAGCCGTGATTCCTGCCCTAAACCCTAAACCCTACTCCCTAAACCCTAATCCCTACACCCTAAACCCTAAACTCTACACCCTACACCCTAAACCCTACACCCTAAACCCTAAACCCCTAGCCCTTCTGGGCCATGTGTTGGCCCTGCAGTACTCGGAGGCTTCGGACACGCTCGGGCTTCGTGTCCAGGATTTAATGTAGGGGTCTTATAAATTAGAATAGGGTTTTGGGGTATATTATAGTATAATTACAATAAGGAACCACCCCAAAACATAGTATTTCATACTATAATTATATTAAGGCACCACCCCCCAAAAAATACTATATTATACTATAGGTATAGTAAGGAACCCCCTCCAAAAAATAGTACTGGTACTCTTTGAAGGCCACTACATGCCGTGAACCTTTTCTATAGAAAACCCCGGAGAGGAGCCCAAAGGTTGGGAATGCTGGGGGACTTAGTAATTAGAATGGGGCTTTGAACTAAAGGAAACTACATATATAGGGCTTCTAGAAGGCATCCATAAGGTATATAGGGTTTAGGGTTTAGGGTTTAGGGGTAAGGAAACCACAGGTGGGGTGTTTAGGGTATAAGGCTTCTATAAGGCTTCCATAAGGTATATTGACCTTCTATAAGACTCCTATAACGGTAACTATCCACCTGAAAATGTCCTAGATTGAAGTACAATGTGCAACGATTACACAAGGACCCTGTGTAGGTACTAGGGGGGGCGTTCTTACCGAGTGACCTCTGTATCATATCCGACACCTACACTCTCGAAGAAACTACCCCCCAGACCCTTCTCCCTAAACCAGTAGCCTTAACTTGAACCCAACCCCTAAGCCCTAAACCCTAAACCCTGAACCCTGAACCCTAAACCCTAAACCCCAAAACCCTAAACCCTCAATGAACCCTTGCTAGAACCGTTGCAAGTCCCTCAGGGGCCGAAGCTCAGCCTCGCAGTTGCTGCGGCGTGGACAGCTGGCTTGCCGCTTTTTCCAGGCCTGGCTACGGGTTTAGAGGTCTTCCTAATTATCTGAACTAAGTTGGGGATAACTATCTATACTATTTTGGGGGTTCCGTATTATAACTATAGTATATAATGCTTAGGGTTGAGGGCTAGTGTTTGGGGTCTAGGGCTGGGGTTTGCGGTTTAGGGTTGAGAGTCAGGGTTTGGGAGGGTCTAGCGTCCCAAGACCCTAAGCCCTCAACCCTAGGGTTCAGGCTTAGGGCTTAGGGTTCAGGGGTTAGGGCTTGGGGTCTAGGGCTGGGGTTTAGGGTTTAGGGTGTAGGGTTCAGAGTCAGGGTTTGGGGTCTAGGGTCTAGCTTCAGGGCTTAGGGGTTCAGGGCTTAGGGCTCGGGGTCTGGGGTTAGGGACTGAGAGCCGGAAGTGTGCGTTGTTTTCATCAAGGGATTTGGGCTGCCTCATTGTAGGGAGGTAAATTAGCCTAAGTTTTTTTTTTAAGCCTTTTCTGTTGCATGTGCCCCAAAGCTCATTGTGGGCAGGCTACCTTAGGGTTTAGAGTTTAGGGTTTAGGGCTTTATGACTATGACCGTTTATCTTAACAAGATTCTGATGCAGAAGTTCTCGAGCTCTACATCTGTAAAGCCCCCATTTCCCCCAAGCAGTGCCGTCAACCTATGATGTTGCTACTGTTGCGATAGCGGCAGCCTGAAGCCTAAACCCCAAACCCAAAGGCTTGAGGCACGAGCGGAACCGAATGTAGGGGCCTCAATAATTAGAACAGGTTTTTGGGGGTTCCTTTGAAGGTTCTTTAAAGGGTTCTGTAAACGGGTCGATAAGGGATCTATAACAGGGTTCCATAATGTAGGGGCCTTAATGATTAGAATAGGCTTTTGGGGCCCATGATACTACAGTCAGAATAAGGAACCGCCAGAATAATGTAGGTAATTGTTTAGGCCCCCTACAGAAAACCCTTAATGAAAATCTTGGAGAACTAAAACCCCTAAAACCCGATGATGAGCTTCCCTAAACACTCTAAACCCCTAAAACCCTAAACCCCTAAAGCCCTAAAGCCCTAAAGCCCTAAAGCCCTAAACCACTTCACCCCTACACCCCTAAAGCCCTAAAGCCCTAAACCACTAAACCCGAACCCTAAACCACTAAAACCCCTAAAGCTGCATGAGGCTTGAGTGAGGCGCCGTGGAAGGATGGTAGGGGCTTTAAGTCCAAGGGTTTTTTGTAGGGTTTAGGGCTTAGGGTTTAGGGTGAAGGCCCTTGAAGCCCAAAATCCGAGACGGAAGCGATAACCTTTAAACCCCAAGACATTCCCCTAAGCCCTAAATTCTAAACCCTAAACCCAAACTCCGATTCTAAACCCTAAACCCCAAACCCCAAATCCTAAATCCTAAACCCCCAAAGCCTAAAGCCCAAACCCTAAACCCCTAAACCCTAAACCCCCAAACCCTGAACCCTAAAATCCTAAACCCTAAACCCCCAACCCTAAATCCTAGACCCTAAACCCTAAACCCGAAACCCCAAATCCTAAACCCTAAATCCTAAACCCTTAACCCCCAACCCTAAATCCTAAACCCTAAACCCTAAACCCGAAACCCCAAAACCCTAAATCCTCACGCCCCGCCTTCCAGGAAGACCGGGGAGTCCACGAGATCGACTTTGCAATCTTCCCCTGGGCTACGCGGCGGTTTTGCGCGAAATATTTACCCATATCATTCGGGGCTTAGGGTTTAGGGTTTAGGGTTTAGAGTTTAGGAGGTTCCATATTATGATTATAGGAAAATGGGCACCCAAAACCCTGTTCTAGTTATTACGGTGGTTGTTGTTGCTGCTTCCGTTGCTGGATACCCTGAGCTGACTCCTGAATGATTTCGGGTCTTAGGCCCAGGCGCTGGGCAGGCAGGGCTTGGGTTTAGGTAAAATCACACCCCCAAGCCCCCCTTTCGCCCCCTTAAACTTGTGCGGAATTCCGTAGATCGCTCTCCAAAGCGAATGCCATACGATATGTACCGCGTCGTGATGACGAGTCTCACGGTGAGCAAACGCGCAAACTGACCTGCATACTTTCGATGCTCAGCGTCATACATACAACTACCGGCAACTTGGGTCCGCTCGGTCTAAGACAACCTTGGATGCTTATGGGTTCATTCGTGAGCTGAGCTTCAGATGCTATAAGGAGAGTATGCAGTTCACTATCTGCTTTCCTCATAGTGGCCACGAGTGACTTTCAAGAGAGTCTGCTCACTATCTGCGTTCCTCATAATGCTAACTCAATCCTCATATGGGGGTTTCCGAAAATAGGGGACCCTAATATAGCACCCTAAATAGTAGGATCCTTATTAAGGACCCCCAAATAAGGTACCATGTATTTTCGGAAACCTCCATATTGGTAACTCAACAGCCCAACCAGAATCCAGGCTTGCAGTCCAAGCCCCCCAACCTCTAAAGCCAAGGCCCAAAACCACGAAAGCCCAACCCAACACCCGAACCCCAAATCCAAAACCTAAAAGAAACAAATCCTAAACCCAGAGAGACACAAAATCCTGAACCCCAAAAGAAACAAAATCCTAAACCCTAAAAGACACAAACTCCCAAACCCTCTAAGAAAAAGCAAAATCCTAAACCCTAAAAGACAAACACAATCCTAAACCCTAAAAGACATATAATCCTCAACCCTGAATGACACGAAATCCTAAACCTGAAAAAAAAAACAAAATCCTAAACCCTAAACGACACAAAATCCTAAACCCTAAAAGACACAACATCCTAAATCGTAAAAGACATAAAATCTTAAACCCTAAAAGAGACAAAATCCTAAACCCTAAACGAAACAAGATCCTAAACTCTAAACTCTAAATGAAACAAAACCCTAAACGCTACACGAAACAATATCCTAAACCCCAAAAGAAACAGCGGAACGAAATAAAACCCTAAACCCTAACAGAAACAAGATCCTAAACCCATAAAGGAACTGCGGAAAGAAACAAAACCACCCTAAACCCTAAACGAAACAAGATCTTAAACCCTATAAAGAAACAGCGGAACCGGCCTTCTTGGAGCAGTGCCTGCACCAGGGCTTCCAAGCAGGAAGCCAGGTCCTGGGCTGTTGGACAAAGAGCATCGATTTTTTCTTTCTGTTTTGTGATTGGGTTTGAGGGTTTTTAATTTCCGTTCTGTGTTAGGGGTTGAGGGTTTTATGGTTTAGGGTTTAGGGTTTAAGGTTTAGGGTTTGAGGTTTTGGGTTTAGGGTAGAGTTTAGGGTTCTGAAACCCTTGGGCGTTTGGGGGGGGTGTAGTGTAGGGTTTGGGGACTGCAGTTTGAAGCACCTTTACTGGTCGGGCAGTTGTGGTTTGGGGCTGTAGGCTTTGCCCAGCGTCTGTGCAGAGTTTAGGCAATATCGGGGCTTTAGTAATTATAATAGCATTTTGGGACCCATCATACTATAATTATATTAAAGACCCCCCCAAAAAAAAGTATAGTTAATTATGTAGGCCCCTACAGTAGGGAATCACTCATGGAGGCAAAAGGCATCGGGCTGGGTTTCAATGATGTTTATACCAGAGCTTCAAGAAGAATAGGGATGAACGCTACTGGAAAACTAAGGCTACCGTCTTTGCTTTAGACCATAGGCCGGGAGTCTCCTTTCAAGTGAGTCCTTGGGTTTGGGGCTTAGGGTTCAGGGTTCTTCTTGAAGATCCCACCCTGGTTTTCGTTTTGCAACATGCGGAACGAAGGGTGCGAAAGGTTTCTGTCAGAGTGCAGCTCTGTTCTAGCGCACTACGGGGCCACCAGTCGCAGCCAACCCTGAACCCATAAACCCTTAAACCCTTAAACCCTTAAACCCTTAAACCCTAAACCCTAAACCCTAAACCCTAAACCCTAAACCCTAAACCCTAACTTTAACTTCAAACCCTAAAGCCCTCAAAGGATCCCTGGCCCGTAAAACCCTGAAGCTCCAGCAGACTCGACCCCGTCTGCACAGAAAGGCATCTGAGCTGCCGAAATCGCTGCGTAGCTCCTGGGAGCTGCAGTTGTCTACCACTACGGTTTTTAGGGTTTAGGGTTTAGGGTTTAGGGTTTAGGGTTTAGGGTTCGGGGTTTAGGGTTTGTTGGAGGGATTCAGCTGTTTGGGGTTTGTTGGGTACCTCTTAGAATTCCCTTATATAAGAGTTCCTTAGAAGGTTCCACGGGAATTCAGGGGTGAGGCTTCGAAGCTTTAGGGTTGGGAGTCTCAGTCTCAGGGTGCAAAGGGTTTCAGGGTTTCAGGGTTTAGGGTTTAGGGTTTAGGGTTTAAGGTTTAGGGTTTAGGGTCACTGGTTGCGCGGACTTTGGACTTTGCGAGGGCTTGAGGAGGGTTTAGGGCCTAGACGGTCTTGAACAGGACTCGTGGCTTTTGGGGCTTGTGCTGGACGGGCTGTTGGAAGGTAGGTCTCACAGGAATTGCAGTATGGGTTCAGACCGTACCCTAAACCCTAAACCCTAAACCCTAAACCCTAGCCCGGCTTGGAGGTACTGTCAGAGATGGTGGTCCCCCCACTGCCTCGCAACATTGTGCCCAGGCGGTTGCTTTCGGCATTCTTGGCCTGGACCTGCCCCACGACTTTGTCGACCCAAAGAGCCCAATACCCCTTGATTAAGGAATCTACCTCAAATCATAGGGGCCTTAATCTATGATTGAAGGCATATATTGCCTAATTTGGGGGCATTGGGCTCTCTGGGGAGCAACTTGTTCTTCTCCGCCTGAAAGGTGGAGCCGAGTGTGGTGGCCTTGTTCAGCCGCCGACAGCACCACGCCGTCCCGGCGCCACCGTGGCGTCCGGCCGGTTCCTCCGATAGTGGAGCCCCGCTCCCAAGATCTGGTCAGGTTGGATACAACCCCAGGTCTACCCTCAATCTTGAAGGAAACTACAGGGGAGTTTGGGTACATAGGGCTTCTGGAAGGCTTCTATAAGGTCTATAGACCTTCTGTAGCCGGGAACTACCCACCTGTAAAGGTCCGAGACGATTCTAAAGGCTCAGAAAACCGAACCTCGGACTCTGAGCCCTGAGCTAAGTAAGAATCCTAGGCCCGACACCAAGAAGCCCAAACGCTGTCAACTAAGAACCTTAACTTCCCTGAATTTGATTCTCATAGAACATATAATATATTATGATGTAAAGAAAAATAAGCACATACAATATAATATAGTGTAATCAATAAAGTATAGCATGGGTAGTTCTCTGAATTAGGGTCCTTTTGTGTCCCCAATATAGTACGGCACCCTTATAAAAAAGGATGCTAAAACGGACCCTAATTTAGACAACTA